GGACAGAGGCAGAGGCCCCGTCGAAGCCAGCTGTGTCTGTCGCGGATGAAAGGCAGAGTCTGTGCCTTGTTTGCTGGTTGAGGACCTGGAGCTGATGGGAACCTGCCCACAGGCAGTGTCCTGGGGCAGACACGTGTCTGGTCCCCGGGGGTTGATGAGGGCTGGACACAGGCTGTGCGGGCAGGGGTCACTCACCTTCTTGCAGCACAGGCGACAGATGAACCAGAGCAGCAGCAGGAGCAGGAGCAGGGCCGGGATGAGCCAAGATAAGAAGAGAGGGTTGGTATAGAGGGTGAACTGGGTGGGTGGGGTAGGCACTGATGGGGTGAGAGCCGCCTGGGGAGAGGCCCCCGGGAGAGGCGGCATTGGGGGGGCTGCTGGGGGGCTGTTGGGAGGCTCGCTCCTGACCCTTGTGCCTAAAGAAAGAGCACATAGCAGAGGCTCGGCTTGGACCCGGGTGACAGCTTCCCCTGCCACTCAGATCCCATCCCAGGTCTCCCCGTCTGCCCAGTTTCCCTTCGACTTGGTTGCCCTACCTGAGAAGAAAGATCCTAAGAGGTTAGGGTACCCAGAGAGCCCCTCTGGGATGAGCTCAGGCACTGCGGCCTCTCCCTCTGTGACAGCCATAGTCACTGCAGTTGTGGTTGTGACATTAGTCACTGTGGTCATCATGGTGACAGCCCTCAGCATTGTGGTCCTCACTGTGACAACTGTAAGCACTGTGACCATCATCATGACACCTGTGGGCACTGTGAGCATCGCTGGTCCAGGGCTGGTCTCTGGGGCTCACTCTGAGGAAGGCACAGGGGTCAGAGTCCGGGGGCTGCTCTTGGTGATTCCTCCCAGGTGCCCACCTACTGTTTCCCACGGCTGATTCCCCCATCAGCTCCCTCTCCCTTCCCCTCATGTTACCTCATGTAGAGGGACCACAGTGGGGCTGGGAGGTCAGGGCTGGTACCCAGAGAGCCCCTCTGGAGCCCTAGGCCACGGACCCCATGGCTGCCCCCGCTCAGCAGCTCCCCCATGGCCCTGTCAAGGAGGTCCAGTCCTCCAGGCAGAGGCAACCCAGCCCTCACTGCCTGCCTAGTATGACACACAGGGGTTCTGTGAGGACCACAAAGAGCTACGACACACGGATGGGTGACGG